TCATGCTTTTGTCTTTCTGTTCTTTAAGATCGTCTGCTTCCTCCTGTTAATTTATTCTCAGAAATGTGTGGAGGCATGTGGCAGTTTGTATTTGAGAGTGAGGTGCTCAAGAGCTGACTGGAAGCCCCTTGTGCCTTCTGGAGAGTGGTGGGATCAATCTGGTGGCCCTCAGGACATTTTCACTGGGGAACCCCCTCCCCAAATCAGTTGCTGTAGGTCTTTCTCTTTACTCATTAACCTGAAGCAGGGCATGGCAAGGGATTCGAGGCTCTCCATTCAGGAAGTCAACTTTAACTCAGTTTCCCCTCCCGCCGGGGGTGAGGAACATAAGACACCTCTCCCCCATCTCATTTTCCATGATGCCTCTCCTTCCTGCACTTGGGGTTCTCTGGGCCAGCCCCACTTGCTTCCTGTTAGAATTTCCATGAGACCACAGCGGACCAGCTCCCTCCAGCTGCTGCTGCTCAGCTCCGTGCAGGGACCTTCGCATCCCGACTCTGGTGTCCATTCCCTGTCCCTAGATGCAGGCCAAGTCTCCGGCACCAGGAGACCACAGCAACGTCTGCAGCCAAGGGTTCCTATTTTTGACTCTATGGAACTATGTGTGTTTTGTTAAGTTTTCCTCATCTGTGGGAGGTTTAGGGAATTTCCAGAAGATCACTGTTAAACTGAAGCTGTGTAGTAGTGAATCCCATGAAGTGATGGAAGAAAAAATGCTTAACGAGACAAAGAGCTACATAGGAAACATTTCCCCCATATTGATCTGTAGCTTCTGCTCCTCACTGGCCCCATCTGAGTCAGAAGTGGCTTTGTGGTCCCCTTCCCTCCCTCCCCTCCTGGGTTGGGTGCCTTGTCGCGGATTTTCTGACCACCACTGTCTACCCTCTGCAGCTGAAGTGCCCTCAAGGAGGTGCCACCTCTGCCATCACTTAGTGTACAGATGTTATTGGCACAAATGAAGATTGTAATTTTTAATTAAGTGCTCTAGCTATAAGGCAAAGGGCACAGAAGCTGCTTCTTTTTCTCTTTTAAGTATAATTCATGATTTAAAAATTGCCAGGGGCCCTTCTGGGCATATACCTCTAAGAATTGAGAGCAAGGCCTTAAAGAAATACTTGCACACCCATGTTCATAGCATCATCTTTCACAATAGCCTGAAGGTGGAGCAACCCAAGTGTCTAGGGATAAACAAAAGGTGGTATCTCCATGTGATGGAATATTATTCGGCCTTCAAAAGGAAGGGAATTGTGACACATGCTGCAATGACATAGGTGAACCTTGAACACATTATGCTCAGTGAACTAAGCCAAGGCCCAAAGAAAAAATTACTGTATGATTCCACTTACATGAGGGACCTAGAGGAGTCCAAGTCATAGAGGCAGAAAGTGGGACCGTGGTTGCCAGGGGTTCCTGGGAGGGGGAAATGAGGTGTTGAATGGTTATAGAGTTTCAGTTTTGCAAGAAGAAAAGTTCTGGAGTTTGGTTGCACAACAAATGTGAATGCACTTAACACTACTGAACTGTACACTTAAAAATGGTTAAAATGGTAAATTTTATTATTTTTTAATATATATTTTGTTGCTAATATTATGCTATTACGGTTGTCCCATTTTTTCCCTCCCCTTTATTCCCCTCTGCCTTGCAGTGCCCCCCCTCCCACCAACATTTCTCCCCCCTTAGTTCATGCCCATGGGTTATACATGTAAGTTCTTTAGTTTCTCCATTTCCTATACTATTCTTAACCTCCCCCTGCCTATTTTGTACCTGCTATTTATGTTTCTTATTCCCTGTACCTTCTCCCCTATTCTCCCTCCTCCCCCACCCCTCTGATCTCCATTTCTGTGATTCTGTTCCTGTTCTAGTTGTTTGTTTTTGTTTTTAGGTTCAGTTGTTGATAGTTGTGAGTTTATCATTTTACTGTTCATAGTTTCTGATCTTCATCTTTTTCTTAGATAAGTCCCTTTAATGTTTCATATAATAAAAGCTTGGTGATGATGAACTCCTATAACTTGACCTTATCTGGGAAGCACTTTACCTGCCCTTTTGTTCTGAAGGATAGCTTTGCTGGATGGATAATCTTGGATGTAGGTCCTTGTCTTTCTTGACTTTGAGTACTTCTTTCCAGCCCCCTCTTGCCTGCAAGGTTTCTTTTGAGAAATCAGCTGATAATTTTATGGGAACTCCTTTGTAGGTAATTGCCTCCTTTATTCTTGCTGCTTTTAAGATTCTGCCCTTATCTTTAATCTTGGGTAACTTAATTATGATGTGTCTTTGTGTGTGCTTCCTTGAGTCCAACTTCTTTGTGACTCTCCAAGCTTCCTGGATCTCCTGGAAGTCCATTTCCTTGGCCAGATTGGGGAAGTTCTCCTTCATTATTTTTTTAAATAAGTTTTCAATTTCTTGCTCTTCCTGTTCTCCTTCTGGCACCTCTATGATTCAGATATTGGAACATTTAAAGTTGTCCCAGAGGCTCCTAAACGTTTCCTCATCTTTTTGAATTCTTGTTTCTTCATTCTGTTCTGTTTGAATGGATATCTCTTTCTTCTGCTCCGAATCATTGATGTGAGTCCTGGTGTTATTTGTATTTTACCACAATTTTTTAAAAAACTCACTGAATGCCCTGGTTGGGTAGCTCAGTTGGTTAGAGTGTCATCTCAATATGCCAACTTTGTGGGTTTGATTCCCAGTCAGGGCACATAAAAGAATCAACCAATGAATTCATAAATAAGTGGAACAATAAATCGATGTTCCTCTCTCCCTTTCTCCTGTTTCCTCTCTCTCTCTCAAAATATAAAAATTAAAAATAATTAAATAATTTTTTTTAAGACATCACTAAGGCCTGGTGACCTTTAAAGGAACTTCCCAGAAACTGCTGACCTCCCAGTTCTTTTTTTAAGACTACTGACTCCTCATCTCTTAGATTCTGCTCTGATAGGGTTAGTTTCCTACTCGGTAGTGAACAAAACAAAAAAGCAAAGGTGCGAGGAGGCAAGGAGATGAGGTGGTAAGGTGCTAAGCCTGGAGGATTAAGAAACAGAACAGTGGTCCCCTCTCTGAAGCCAAGACATCCCCCGTCAAAGAGAGGGGACCATCCTCCATTTATCACGTGCTTCGTTCATAGGCACACAGCCCTTCGTGTTACAGTTGAGGAAACTGAGGCCCAAATGGGGGAGGGGCAGGCACAGAGGGTGAGGTACACAGGGCTGGTCGCACAGCTGCCTGGCAGTAGAGCCCAAAGTGCAGCCCCGGCTCGGTGTTTTTATCCCCCTCCCTCCAAGATATGTGAACTCTGAACTTTAACCACCTGGTGATGATGAGCAGGGCTGACAGCTTCAGCATTATTGCCTCCCGGACGAGGAGAACAAGACTAGGTGACAGCCTAGATGGAGCCAGCGTCAGGGTGGGACAGCCATACAAGCAGGTGGATCTCCTGTTCCTCCGCCTCCAGCATCCAGGGTGCCCCTGAGCACCTGGAGCCCAACCTCGGGAATTCCTACTCAGGTCAGAGGTGCAGGTGGCTCCTCTCCCGGGGTTAGCAGAGAGGTCTGGGCTTAACGTCGAGAAATCAATCCCAGCCTTTGGAATGTCTCTGCTCATAGCCCTTCCATGAGGGAGGAGATATTTCAGGGCTCTCGATAGGGAAGGGCACTCCTGAAGTCCTGAAGTCATGGTTTCTAAACTCTGGTCGTTCACCTTCCAGCTGCAGTTTTCACCATGCCTGGTGTTCCGCTTGTACATGTAAAATAAAAAAATTTAATATTTTTATATCACCTTACCTTTTAACCTCATTTTTTTATTATATTTTATTACATGTATTATGTATTATGTAACTTACTATTATACAGGGTGGGGCAAAAGTAAGTTTACAGTTGCGAGTACACAAAACAGTTTATCCTTGTACTATTATTCATTACTGAACTATTTTCAATACAAATAATTGTAAACCTGCTTTTGCCCCACCCTGTGTTAAATGATATCCTATTATGTATTCAAAGGAAACTTAATACTATGGCTGTATATGGAAAACCAGATACGCTTGCTATAAATAGACAGTAACTATAAAAAGAAATATAATGACAACAAGACAGTTTGAAATTCTTGCTAGATTCCCCTGCCTGCTGAAGGCTTTGAACCTGAACCTTTGTTGAAAAGGGAACAACAGCAGATGTTAGGGAGGCGTTACATTACTGGGGCTCCAGAGGTGAGCAGGATTCAACAAGGACCAGAGGGGAACAACCTCTCCCTGCTCACTGGTATTGGACCGATCCGCTGGGTCTCCCGCAAGAACCCCAAGTCGTGTGCTTTAGAAGACACTCCATTTTGAAGTATCACATGACAGGTCCAAGGTGTGGTTTTAGGATAGCGAATAGTTCCCTCAGACACGGTCCTCACCCCAGGGTGACGCCTGTGAAAGAAGGACAAAAAGAAAATGGATGGATCGGTGACCATGGCCGAGCCCTGAAGTGCGGTGACACCTCAGAGCAACGGGTAGACCAGGGCCAGGAGCAGAGCAGGCGCGCACAGGGGAGGGGGCTCAGCAGGGGCCTCTGGGTCAGTCCCCTCCACAAAGCCCAGGCAGGAAGGTCCTCATTCTTACTCGTTGGGGAATCATTTACTTTTCTGTTCGCTCATCTCTAAAGTGGAGTTTAAGATTCTGGATATCCTACGAGGGCGCTATAGGGATGGAATTGAAAAGTGAGTCGGTGGGCTTGAAGGAGCGAGCCCAGGGCGTGCAGAGCTCTGAGGGAGAAAGGACGCAGGCTGGTGGCCAGTGGGCCTCTTCTTCCAGCAGAGTGGCCTTTGTAATGGGTTGTCAGGGCTGTTGGGTGACTGCAGAGTCCTAGGCTGTAGCCAGGCACCTGAATAAGTCTCGCTCCTTTCATAGGTCCGGCCTTTGCAGGAAACCCTGCTGCCTCTGTTGCAGCCATGCTACAAAGAAGCAGGAAAATGAGCAGGCGGGGGTTCAAGACGGCGCTGCCAATGTCCCTGTTCCTTTCCAGGTACCAGGATCATCTACGACCGGAAGTTCCTGATGGAGTGTCGGAATTCACCTGTGACCAAAACACCCCCACGGGACCTGCCCACCATTCCGGGGGTCACTAGCCCTGTAAGCGATGAGCCCCCACCAGAAGCCAGCCAGAACCACCTGCAAAACAGCCCCGAAGAAAAGCCAGCAGGCGGTGAGTGGCTGGGTTTGGCCAGGCTCTTGGGACGGAAATGTGTTTGGCCCGAGAGTTCTGTCCATTAGGGGGAATTCCAGGGAGGAAACGATGGTGACTGTCCCACCTGTGAAGCAGCTCAGAGTGCAGAGGGCCAGGGTAGGGATTGGGGGGATGGTGGGGAGAACTTTCATCAATACCAAGTTTCCCCACGAAAGGGGCCCAAGCACCCCAGGAAGGAGGACGGTTTGGCCTCTTAGGTAATCAGATCGTTGGGGGAGTCTGACTGAAATGGGAGAGGTCCCGCATAGGGACTTTCATAAGTATGCCCCTTTATATAATCGTCCCTAAAGCAGTCCCTTGTATCTACAACACTTGAAACACAGTTGCGAGTACCCATGATGTTCGTGTGCAGATGACTTTTCAAAGACATGGTGTACTTGTGTCTAGGAAATTGCATGTCTGACAGGTTCAGAAAGGCATCCGGGATGCCTTCTGTCAGGGTGTTGGTCCACTAATGGATTCTTGATGAAAACGGGTAGAAACGATGCAACCAATTGTTTCTGCAGGCCATGGGGTTTCTAAACCCTTCTGGCCCCCCCATTCCTTCCCCCAAGTAATGGGAGCAGCACCCCCGGCAGAGGTGTGGGTGGAGGTGGTTTTCGTGGTACCGTGACTGGCTTGTCAGAGCATCTGAGCCCGCCCACTGCAGGAGGATGCAGTGTAAGCATGTGCAGACAAACTGAGTCAGCCTGGAACCCGCTGACCCTCCCCCGGAAGGCAGTGCACCAGACCAGACAGGAAGCCGCTGGGACCTTGGGTTGGGCTGGCTCTGCTGACAGCAGCAGAATCCACCTACCCAGGGCCTGCAGGACATGCTTCATAATCACCTTGGGAACCCCACAGCTCAAGACAGGACACAGTTGCCTTGCCTTTCAGACGCAGAGAGCGGTAGATGGTAGGGAAGTGACACAGAGGGCAATAAGGACGGCACCAGGCAGTGGGGTTCCCTGCTGTGTGTTAAAAGATGGAGAGAGGGATAGACAGATTTACATGGGGGGTGGCACGGTGCCTCCCACCCCCACTTTGCTTCAAATCAAAGACTGGAAGTTGAGGATGGAGGTGCAGCTCCTGAAATTGCTAAGTCACCACTACCTGAAGGCTGTCCCTCTCCCCCACTTGCATATCCTCTTCCCTCCCAGTTTCTAGAACTGCTCTGGCCCATAACAAATGCAGGGGTGGCCTAGTGGTGCCCCAGGCAGCAGCCTTACCCACAGTAATGGCCTGGGAGTTTCACAGTTCTGACAGGGTGTTGTGGTCAGGAAGTGACATCATTTTTTCATTTTGCTGAACTGGATGTAAGAAGCCAAGGCTCCTGGCCTTGGACCCACATATATGTATAAACATAACAGGAAGAAGAGCCCAGCTGTTTCTCTGTGGGGCCAGAGCAGGCATCTTACTATCTTCGGGCCTTGCCCAGAAGATGCTGAATGAGGCAGTTGCATTAAAAAGAAAATCGACCCGCTGCAGCATGAATGACTTGGAATTTTTAGTGGAAAGGGGGATGAGGGCAGTGAGTGGCTGACTTACCCAAATAACTACTATTCCAGGCTATTCCAAGGGCAATCGGATGTATTCCTCAATGGTCATGGTACCATTTTCTTAACCAAAAGCTGGGACACATGCTCAAACAAGCTATATGCTTAAGGAACATTTTTCTTTTTTTTTTTTAAGAAAGATGTTATTGATTTCTGTTTAGAAAGAGGGGAAGGGAGGGAGAAAGAGAAACATCGAGTAAGAGAAACATCAATCAGTTCCCCCTTGTACATGCCCCAGCCAGGGACTGACCGCACAACCCAGGCGTGTGCCCCAACTGGGAATCGAACCTGCGTCCTTTCTTTCACTTTGAGAAACAATGCCCAGCCCACTGAGCCACACCGGTCAGGGAATAGTTTTCTATGAAGTTGTGTTTATGTCAATTCACAAGTAACCACTCATTCTTATTAAAAATAGTAAAAATTATACAAAATTCAGGACTGTCATGTCTCCTGTGGGAGACGTGGTCTCTGCTCCTTCTTTGGGATTGGGGAAGAGGGCACAGCTGGACAGGGCACCTGCAGGCCTTCGTTTCCGAGGATTCCTCGTGTAGTCCTGGCCTCCCTCCCTTTTCCTTGGCAACATAAATCTGGCCTCTGCTCTCCTTGTAGGAACACGAGAATGAAAAGCTAACCCTTCTCCCTGGCCTCTAAAATGTTAGTCCTACCAATTGCTCATTGCTCACCTGACCTTCTGTCCTTTCTCTCCCCAGGTGAAGAGTCACAGTTTGAGATGGACATTTAAGGGACCAGCCAGCAGATTGAGCAATGCCTCTGGGCCCCGCTGGTCCTTCTCGGGAGAAGAGTCACACCCGCCATTTATCATCCTGGGCAGGCGCTGGGTGTGGGTCAACCGCCCCGGTCCTCTGCTCCCTCAGGCAGGGCACCTGCTCCCCCTTCCTCCTGGAGAACACCAGCAGATACCTCTATGTGCCTCCATTCACGCAGGGGCTCGCACCCCGCACCCCACGGGGAGTGACTCTTGAGCACACACCCTGCAGCCTGGGGCCAGGAGGTGGACACAGAAGAGCCCTTCTGAATGATTACGGCCCTTTCTCTGAAGGCACACCCACCCCTTCCTTAGGTTGGTGTGCCTGCGTAAGTTCCCCTCCCCCTGCTTCCCCAAGAGAGGAAATAAAAGCCACCTTCACCCCAGGGCCAAGAGTTGGCCCCTGTCTGAGGTCTTTTCAACTCCATATGGATAATTAACACCAACTGCTAATTTGCACAGTGCATGTAAAGCACTTTCCTATATACCATCTCATTTGATTCTCATGCTGATCCTGTGACCTAAGCAGGGCAAGTGTCATCCTCATTTTACATCTCAGAAGACCAGCTCAGAAGTTAAAATCGCACACTAGTAAAGAGACATGGGATGGGACGGACCAGGTTTGAACTGTGCTACTCTCCGTCTCTTGTTTTTCAGTGGTGGGTGCCACCTCTTTTCTGGGCCTCATTTCCTCAAGCCGGGCAAGTGACCTGTCACCTTCACTTTGTGCTCCATTCCCTGCAGGAGTCAAAGGGAAGAACCTGAGCCTTGGCCAACATAGAACCTCTTTGATCCATGTACCCCTGGTGTTTGTTGACTGATCCTTTGTGTGGGCTCTCATGAAGGATACAAACATGAAACGAGCTCATTTCCTTGACCGTTTCATTGAAACACATGATATACCCATAAGAGAAGTCACACACAAAAAAATTGTGTAGGATTGGTTACCAGCGAGTAGCCTATACAAATGGAGGTGACCGTACAGTTGGGTCCTGAGAATGGGTGGGCTGGGGAGAGGCAGGGGCCCAGTGTTGCTAGAGTCAGGTGGTCTTGTGGAATCAGGGTGTACAGGATAGGACATTAAATTGCTTGCTTTGGCCAGAGCAGGCAGTTTATGTGGTTTGAGAAGGCCAGATCTCGAAGGGCCTCGGATACCAAGCAGAGGTAAAGAAGCCCTTCTGAAAGATCATCTGGCTCTGTGAGCACTTTCTTATTCATTATCACGTTCGATTCTCATGCTGATCTTGTAACGTAAGTAGAACAAGTGTTATCCTCATTTTATACCTCAGAAGCCCAGCTCAAAGGGTAAAATCGCACACTAGTAATGAGAGATGGGACTGGGTTTGAACTGGGTCGTTGCTGAGAAACAAAAGGTGTTTCTCATTATAGGATGTACTTGGGAATGGATGGCTTTTGACCAGGAGACAGTGGCTGACGTGGACTTCACAAGTTCTGGGCTCATAGCACTTGTCACTCTGCTGTTCGGGGAGCAGCAGGCCTCAGTGACCTTTTCTATAGCTAAGTTGGAGTTCCTCCCCCGTGAAGGCAGCTGGAATCCATGTGCCTGATGATGGCACATGGAAGGACCCAGCCACGGTGGCGTGTTGATTCTGGGCACACAGCACGCCCTTTTTATATAAAAAGAGTGAGGCTACGGAGGGACTGCCACCAGAGCAAAGACAACAACTAAAGCTCCAAGTAGGATCAAACTAGAGGTGGGATCACCCTTCCCAATCCCTTAGCTTTCTATTGAGAGCATCTTACTCTCCTGACATCCAACCAGACGTCTTGCTCACAAGTCTGCATGACCAGATCCATTCCTCTTCTAGGTTCTACATTTCACAGTCCAAGAGATTGGGCGGGGGGGGGGGGGTTAAATTGGCTTCTCTGACAAGAAAATTGTTCCCAAGTTGTGCACCTTTCCCACTGAAAAAAAGTATCCTCCAGAAAACCTAGGTATTTCTTGTGCATCATTCTGGCCGGATGCTGTGGAATAGCAAAGATCTATGACACAGCCCTTGTCCTCAAGGAGGTTAAAATCTTGAGATACATCTCCCCTGGTCCCATTTAACATCTCAGTGTGTGGAGTCTTAAAGCTTTCATAGAGATAAGTAGGAAACCCTCGCAGTTTGGCCTGCTTATGCCCTGGCATCACCAAAAGCACTGTTTTTGCATTTGGGAAAACCAGTGACAACGTGCTGTGAACCAGGAAATGCAAAGGAGTGTCTTAGGCTGTGCTGTGAGTTCCCAAGCAGCTTACAACCTGACCTGGAGATGAGAGGGTCTATGAATAGCAAAAGGACACCCAAAAGGACATTGGAGGCTGCGTTGATGCCATGAGTTAATGGAATCAGAATCCCTCACGGAGGATGAGGGGTTTGATAGGGCTGGCAGCATCTTCATTTGGGGAGTGCCTTCCTGGATCATGAGTGGCCGGAGGTACTGGGACCAGGAGAGCAGTTTAGCTGGAAGCATGTCAACGCTGTTGGGTTTTCCGTACATGAATGAAGAGGCTGAACCAGGTGGGTGGAAATGGGAATCGGCTACATTGGGGAAGGGGGTTGACAACACTTGGTGAAGTAGAAGGAGGAGACAAGTGTCATGGAGATTTCTGGTCTGGGTGACTCAGAAGAGAGGTCAGAAAGAAATGCCAGTGTAGAGGCTGCACAGGGGAAACAATGAGAAGGCCAAAAACAAACTTTGGGGACTGTTCCCAGTGAGCACGAGTGGCATATAAAGGCCTGAAAGCCCAGCAACTTGCCACCCTCCACGCTGCTGTTGGCACCGCTGTGGGCACCCCTCCAGCTCTCAGGTAGTCAGGTGAGGTATGGATGGAGGCCATCTTTTACTGGCACCCTTTACTGTGACATTCCACATTGTTGAAACAACTCAAGGAAAGCCCAAGGTCTGAAAACCAGTATTTCAGGAAGACCTGGGTTCATTAATAGACCCAGGAAGTGGTCTTTTTCTGCTAAATCCAACCTCATTTTGATTTAACAAGCCTCTGCTAAGCCTCTTATCCGTGCCCAGCATGATGCTAGATCTTAAGGCAATACAAGAGAATTTCAAGACAAACACCTGAGGAAAAAATAATCCCAGGAGGCATGATTAAGTGCAAATAAGGAGAGTATGGCCAGTAAGCAGGAGAGGAGCAGCCGAAGAGCACAGTGCAAAGGGGAGACTACCTGAACAAAGGCATGGTGTCTGGGAGAAGTATAGTGTGTGTAGGGACACTGTGCGAGGCTGAAGTGTGTTGGGTAGCACAAGGTAAATTGAAATCGCATAGGATTAGATCATTGAAACAAACAAAAAAGCATTGATTGAATGAATGCCTTGTGTATTCTGGAGTTTAACTACAATCTTATTCTACATCACTTAAACGCAGGTGTTTGTATTCCCATTTTATACATGGCCATGGCCGGCATGTATCAGAATTAGGATTCCAGCTTTCATCTGTCCAGCACCAAAGTCCATGCTCTTTATGCCCCATTGGTTGGAATTGAGGTCTGGGCTGTTTAGATTCTGAGCTGGAGGTAACTGGGATGTTGGTTGGAGGTATTAGAACAAGTCAGTAACAGATTGGGGCTAAGGTAAATCAGGTGGAAGGAACTAGGGTCATTCAGATGTTCGGTGGGTTGCTTAGGCTCAGTGGAGTGGGGTGTGACAAAGGAGTGAAAGAAGATTGATAGTGTTTTCTCATTTATGGGAGAGTTACCTATTGAGTGCCTACTGTGTGCCTATGTGCAGGCACTGTTTTAAGCACGAGAGAGCGAGCAGTGGGCAAAACTAAGCCTTCCAGAAGCGGATGTAACATAACTTTAGGGACTGAAGCCATGTGTGATTCTTGTTTTGTACATGCAGCTTTCATTGCTGAAATCAGAAACCTGGCCTCCTCAAAATAAGGTTCAGAATTTGGCATGGCCAACCCTCCCTACTCCTACTGAGCAGAGGACATGTGCTCTTTGCCGTGGGGACAATTAATCCTACATGGAAGAGCCAGCACCCCAGTGACAGGCAGCAGGCACCTCAGTTTCTGGAAATAGCTTGAGCAAAGCCTCCTCATCTGCAGCAGACTAAATAAACATGAGAAGGTAAGGAAATGCAGGTTTTTTGGGGAAAAGTGCAACTCCTAAACATTAGGTATTCTTGAATGAGTGTGACTTGAATGAATTCTGCAGGGAGAGTGGGAGAGGAAGCCCCATTGCCGAAGTGGAGGGGAATCTCTCCTTCCCGCAACTGGTCAGAGGCCATATCACAGGAAAGCAGATTTTAGCCCTCCTATGTTCCTTACTGTTAAATTCTCATGAGGAATGAGGGTGACTTACTTTCCAGTTACAATACTCAACATAGTGCTGCCTCCTGCTGGAAGCATCTGTTAAAAGAAGGAAGGAAGCGTACACCTCAGAAACAGTTTTTCCATTCCATTCCTTTAGGTGGAGGAGGAAAGTGAAGGGAGCCACTTGCATTCTAGACCTGAGCACAGTTCTCTGCGTTACCTCAAATTATGCAGCTGGACCCTCATTCTCTGAGAACCCTGAGAGAGTTTTCCAGATAGGGTGACCAGAGATGCATTGCAGGCAGAACCAGGGTAGAGAACACGCCTGCGCTTTCCCTGGTGTGGGACAAGCTGGTCAGAGCCTTGCCTCCTCCCTCCAGCCAAACAGCTATGCATACTGCCCTCTGGACCTCAACCCCTCACCCACCAGCAGTAAGCAGGTGGCCCTACTGACCAAGGAACGCCACCTAGCAACAGAGCTTACCTGTTGAGTTTTCTTCTCAACGCGAGCTTCTGCCATTAGGTTGCATTTAAACCATTTCTAGTGATTCCGCCCTATTATGGGAGAAGCATGACTGCCTTCCAAAAGGTCAGTCAGGACTCTGAACTGTTAAAAACTCCTCCCTTAGCCTCTATAAGACAGTTTCAGATTTGCATCAGTATCATGGCAATAAATGTAGTCACTCAGGTTATCCCCCAACTCCTGGATAGTTTCAGCTCTTGAGCTCCTCAAGAACCACCAAGAAGCCCATCCACAGCTGTGTTTCCTAGCTCCCGAGCTGGGCCTTTTAACTCAGACGAGGGACATCAACAGCGTCCTAGAAACCTCTGATATCCAAATCAGAGGCACTGGCACCCAAATACTCTGTAAGCCTGATGAACTTTGCCACACTCTTACTCAATTCACTGGAAAACTATGCTAGTGGTACTGGTCTGATATGGGGAAAAAGTAGCATGACTTCACCACTTCTTTCTTCTGTGAATGGCATCTAAACCAGATCAGCTCTTTGGGCAATCAGATCTGCCCAGAGGCCAAAGGGATTTTTTTAGTGTGGCCAGCCTGTAACGTGTGAGCCCTCTGGCCCACCGCCTCTACCTGTTCAGCCCTAGTTTTGAGAGATCTCAAACCCCAGAGGAACAAATTAGCACTACTATTCTTTGCTGTAGTCAAGATGCAATTGGAAATGGCACTCAATCTTGCGTCCCTCTGTTGACAGGATGATCTACTTAGCATCTCCAGCCAGAACTTTCAGCCACTGCCTCCGCTCTCCCTCCTGGAGACTCCAGTTCTTTCTTACATCAGACTTGACAGCTTCCTTCATGTTCCTCCAGGGTTGATGACAGGCCATCACAAACAGGACATTATCAGCCCAAGGGAGAGCGATCAACCCTGGCCTGTCAGACAGCTGGTCTGCCGTGCACAGCACTCACTTGGGTGCTTCACTAAGTGTACGTGACCAGATGGGTGTTTGAACCCAGGGTAGGGTGGGTAGCAGAGGGCCGTGGCTTTTGGGCCAACGTTATGAAAACTTAAACATCTGATTGAGTAACTCCATTCAAGTTTATGGTTCAGTCAGAACCTTCCTCTCATCAAGCAACGGAAAGGTCATGACATTGCCTCTTCCCGGGAGTCCACCTGTCCGTCCATAAGACAAGCTCACTC